ATCAAATCTCTTTCTATTTGAGTGAAAGTACTCAAATCCTCAAATCTCTTTCTATTTATAATATATATATTAAAAAATATGCAATCTATAAATTTCTGAAATAACTATACCGATTATTTAAAATATATAATATTAAAAACAGAATTAAAAAAAATACTTCAACGATAGAAAAAATAATTTAATACGAATTAACGAGAAAATAAAATTAATGAAATTGATTGTTAATAATAATTTAAAACTATATTATACACACAGATATGTACAAGGCCAACCGATTGTATTCATCATGCCAACGAAGGAGAAGATTGTTCAAAAAATATTACAACAACGGTCGCTAATTTATCGAATATCGAAACAATACTTCGTCGTTACAATGGAAAATGTTATATACTTATCAACGAAGATGATCAAACAAATGAACAAAAATATATTTTAATTGATACGGATAATAGTGACGACAATAGTAGTTACGTTGAAGAAGAAGACGAGGATAATGATATTAATAATAATGATAATGATAATGATAATGATAATATCAAGGTCAATGAAAATAATCACCCTTATCGTAACGAATCATCCCCTAAATGTTCCAAAGAATAAATTCACTTCGAGTGTAGGTTTTATTTTCTTTACATTAAATAATATTTCATCGTCGTTAAAATGATTTTTACGTTTATACTTTTTTTAAAATAAATAATAATAATGATAATAATAATAATAATAATTTGTCAATGAGAGATATTGCTATCAACGAGATGCATTTTTATTTTATTTATTTTTTTTTTTTTATTACTTTCCATACACGACGACGAAACGTTCGATAATTTATCCAATTTAATTGTATTTTTTTATGTCGACATTGTTTTATTATTTTAAGAGAGAAGATTGAAATGAATTAATATAATAATAATGAAAAATAAAATGAAAGGAAAATTATAATTTATGACAATTTATTTAGTATTTCTCTCGTCCAAAAATTACAATTTTTAATGATGAAATTTAACAGGGAACTTGGACATGAAAGAAGTAGAACTATGTTTGATTTAGTTGGACGTTTCGTCCCTTTATTGGGACTTCTTCAGCAACTTAATCTAAACAGTTCAGCGTCTTTTTTCATTGAGTAGACATACATTTTTCTTTTTATTATTAATATTCAAAACACAAAACATCTAAACTTCGTTAAATTGATCGTTATTATTTAAGTTCCTCAACAAAACAGTTTCGGTTAAGTTCCCTGTTAAATTTCATCATTAAAAATTTATGACAATGTTTAAAATAATTGCAAAAATAATTGAATGTTTCTCGTGATTTCTAAACGATGAGGGGGTTGTAAAAGATT